CTGCGCATCTCTTCTGTCGCGCCCTCTGGGCGCTTGATGTACCGTCGCGCCTCCGGTGTCTGCTTGTCTCGTCTGACGTCTGAGGACTGCGCGAGGCGCTGTGTGCCTCGCTGCTCTCTCGTCTCTCTCTGGGAACTATGCTGCTTTCTCTCTGCACTCTGGGACCCCGCCGCGCAGAGCACTGTGTACTGTCGTGCTCTGTGGAGTGGACTCTCTCGCTGTGGCGTCTGTCGCGTCCACCTGCGGTCCGAACTCGCCGGCTTCGATAGATCTTCTCCGTTTCTCAACGAAAACTCTTGGCAGCCGCCATTAGGTAAAAGAAAAAACTTCGCCGGCGTGGACCGTCGTCGCGCTGGCCGTCGTCCCGGCATATAACAATCATCCCGCCTGGAGAGCCCCGATCGCCTCCCTCACCGCGGCCACGAGCCGCGACGCCTCCCCCTCGCTGCGCGGCCCGTCCCTCCGCCACCTCGCCGCGTCGTGGTGCCGCGCCGCGTTCGCCCAGATGCGCAGCGAGTGCAGCTGGCTCCGCAGCTCGGTCGGCAGGCCGCACTCGCGGTGCCAAAAGTTGATGCGCTCCTCGAAGCCGTCGGGCGCCGCCGCGGAGCGCGAGGCGTAAACGGAATCGAGACGCGGCATCAGCGTTTTGAAGGCGAGCAGCATGTTGTCCTGGATGCGCGCCTGCGCGTCGCCGCCCGTGCGCATGCCGCGCACCTGCACCGAGAGCGGCGAAGGCTCGTAGCCGGTGGTGTGGGCCTCACCTGCAGGCGCCGGCGCAGCCTCCTCCATCCCCGCCCTGCCCGCAGACAGCAGCGCCCGCAGAGTCGTGATTGCCTCGGGCAGCGTCGGCCTCTTGCGCAGGCTGTCGTGGCAGAGGCTCTTCCCGTCCGCCTTGGCGAGGTCCTTGACAGTGCGCGCCGCGTCGGCTGGCCACCCCGCCGCCGCGTCCGCGATCGTTGCCGCGTCGATGTCGGTCCAGTCCTCCTCAAACTCGTCCTCGCACCGGTCGGTCAGTTGCACCTCCGAGCGGTTGGTGAGGCAGACGAGGAGGGTGACACCGACCGCGTACCCGTCTGTCTTGCTCGAGTACTCGCCTCCCTTGGTGATGGAGGGGCAGAGGTAGCCCGTGGTCATGTAGAGGGCGGCGGTCGAGCGGCAGCGAACAGAAGCGTCCGGCCGCTGGTCCTTGGCGAAGCCCGTGTCGGCGAGCACGGCGGCCAGCTTCTCGTCGAGCAGGATGTTGTTCTGGCTTGACGTCGCGGTGCACGATGCCCTTCGAGTGGAGGTAGACGAGCGCCTCGGTCGCCTCACACGCGATACGCACCCGCTGCCGCCACGTCAGCGGCCTCGGCGGCTCCGCCATGCCCAGCCGCCGGAGCGCCGCGCGGTCGGGATCCGAAATACGCAACCGCGCCTCGAGCGAGCCTCCACGCATCAGCGGCGAGAGGAGGCAGATGCCGTCGGGCGAGAGGCAGTAGCCGAGAAGCGGCAGCAGGTGCGGGTGGCTCACCGCCTTGAGCATCTTCACCTCGAGCTCCGCCCGCAACAGCCCTCCCGACTGGTCCGACTTTGCCCGCTTGACGACGAGCGGCAAGTGGCGCAGCTGTGGTGGCGCGGAGAGGGAGAGGTGGAGGTCGGCCGACGCCTCGTAGACGCGGCTAAATCCGCCGCTGCCAATCAGCTTCCTGTCGGCGAACCCATCGGTCGCCGCGGTGAGGTCCGACAAGGCTATCTCGACGGGCCGAGCAACCGCCTCTTCCGCTGTGGACGGCTTGGAGCCGACAGACAGCTCTGCCAGCCGCGACTCTGCCGCGCTCATCTCCCCGTCCAAGGCAGGCAGCACTCCCACGTGCGGCCTGGCGGCGGCAATGCCCGCTCGGAGCGCGGAGGGGCTGTCCGCTGTGTCGAGCGACTTGAGCGCGCCCATCGCCGCGCCATGCGCCTTGCGCAGCCGCTGGCTCTCACGCTTCCGCGCCTCCTTGAGCTTGTCGCGCGCGCGCCTCGCCGCCGCCAGCACGGCCGGGCTCGCGAGGCTGCTGTACGCCTCCAGCGCGCTCGCTAGTCCCTCGTACGAGCCAGCGGCCACTGCCTGCTGCAGCGCCTCGTCCGCCGCGGCGATGGCGGCTGCGTCGGCGGGTGGGGGCGGCGAGGCTGGCGGCGGGGCTGGCGGCGGCGAGGCGGCGATGGCGCCGGGGCCCGGAGCCGAGACGACGGCCTCGCCGCGCCGCTCCTCCTCTTCTTCTTCTTCTTGCCCTTCTTGCTCTCCTTGCGCTCCTCCGCCTCCTTCTCCGCCTCCTCCTCCGCCAGCAGCGCCTCGGCATGCCGCGCCGCCTCCGCCTCCGCCGCCGCCCTCTCCGCCTTCCTCGCCGCCTCCGCCTCCGCCTCAGCCGCCGCCGCATGCTCCTCGAAGGCGCGCACGCACTCGGCGTTGCCCTTCTCCTTGGCCCACTGCAGGCTAACCTCGGAATGTGACACCAGAATGGCTGTGCTGGCTCCTTCACAGCCATCTTACCTAAGGATGGCTGAGCTAGCTACAGTGCAGCCACATCCTTCAGCCCGATGGCTGCAACACACACACGGCAGCCATCCTTAGTAGACATGGCTGGAGACGCACTACCGCAGCCACACCGCCCGCCTCGAGGTGGGCCCTCTTGGCTGAGCTGGCTACATCGTAGCCATCTTGGGAAAGATGGCTGGGGGACAGCCATTTCAGCCATTTCAGCCATCTACTATGGCTGCGTCATAGAGATTGCAGCCATCCTCCAGAGCCATGGCTGGTGGTAATTCGATGGCAGCCGATGGCAGCCGTCCCGCGAGGCCGGGGGCGACAAGCGCGCAGCCATTTGTGCGTGTGGCGGGGGCGGCGGACGGCTGCCATCGAATTATCACCAGCCATGCTCCGGAGGATGGCTGCACTGACTGTGCCCCAGCCATAGTAGATGGCTGAAATGGCTGTCCCCCAGCCATCTTTCCCAAGATGGCTACGATGTAGCCAGCTCAGCCAAGAGGGCTCACCTCGAGGCGGGCGGTGTGGCTGCGGTAGTGCGTCTCCAGCCATGTCTACTAAGGATCATGGCTGCCGTGTGTGTGTTGCAGCCATCGGGCTGGAGGATGTGGCTGCACTGCAGCTAGCTCAGCCATCCTTAGGTAAGATGGCTGTGAAGGAGCCAGCACAGCCATTCTGGTGTCACATTCCGAGGTTAGCCCCCACTGCAGCGCCGACAGGCCGCCCTCAGAGCGCAGCTTTGCATCCGCGCCAGCCCGCAGCAGGCAGAGCACGACGGTGGGGTGGCCTTTCCTGGCGGCGAGCATCAGCGCGGTGAAGCCGAGGCTCATCAGCAAGTTGATCTCCGCGCCGCGCCGCAGCAGCAGCTCGACCACCCGCTCGTGGCCCTCCTGGGCGGCGATCATCAGCGCGGTGCTGCCGTTGCTGTTCTTCAAGTTGAGCTCCGCGCCGTGCCGAATTAGCAAGTCGACCACCCGCTACTACCTTGCCTTAACTTCCCTATCCCGGTTCAAATCAGGAAGGGTCGGGGGGATAAGCTGAGAGTCGGGGAAGAGCCGGGCGCCGCTCAGTCCACAGAGTTGGATTTCTTTTTTGATGGGCTTGCTGCTCGCTGCGAGGGCGAAGAACTCGTCTCGTCACACGCCAAGGGCTTATGCTCTGCCGAGACGTGACTTGTGAGGCGCTTGCGCCCCGCTGCTGCAGCTCGCTCAGGGCCCGCGCGCTTGACGCGCGCGCTCTTCTCCAATGCGGCGGGAGAGCCCACGCACTCCGCCCTCTGCCGCCTGCTGAAGGGCATCCTAACTTTCCTCTACAGCGAGGCGGAGGGGGACGGCGACGCGCAAGCTCGCGCCTGTGCTGACCACTGGCACTGCCGCCGCGTTGCCGATTATGCCTGCCTCCCACCTCCCTCCCTCCCTCCTGGCGGCCGTCCAGCCGCCCAGTTGTCACTTCGACTGTAGGCGCCGATGTTTTCCGTTGCCCTTGCCAGTCTAGGGTTAGATT